ATAAAAGGAGAACGAACGAGCGTACAGTGCACACGTTAGCCCCGGAAGACGAGGAAAACCGAGCTCAAAACTTTCGTCTGGCCATTAATCACGCGACAGATTAGTCAAAAACTTCTGCGCTCATCGTCGCCGCTACCACCATCACTGTCGTAGCCATCTGATGATGGTTTTTCGAGAGGAAGTCGACGGAGGGTGTCGTGCGTGTGTGCGTGCTCGTAGCGGAGAGTATAAAAACGATATCTTTTATATTATGTATGTATAGACGACGTTTCGCGACAGAAAAAGGTCACCCTTGCCTCCTATACCACAAACGCCGCGTAAACGTGAAAATCCTGCTCCGGAAAGGAGCGAGCGACAACGTTGTTGGCGGACGGTGGATAAGGGTGAGAAATTAGGGACAAATGTATAATTAATGACTTTGGCGCGTGGAACCAAACCGAAAGAGGTTGCTTGTTTTAATTTTTTGTTTTTCGTATTTTATAATATAACGTCTCCAACCCACTCCCCGATTTCTCCTTCAAAGGTTTTATTTCTTGGGGTTCTTTTTTTAGTTTTTTTTCCAGTAGGTGTAATTATTCCTTGGATAATCGTGTTCTTCTAGCTCTTTAAAAACACCATCCACCACCTCCATAACTGCTTTCATACAATCTCGACTCTCATTAATCGTCTTATGTGTGTTTAATGATGCCGCCCCGCAGAGGAAAATTTACACTTGTGCGCTGCATAAAAGGCGTCCCGCTGCAGTCACTTTTCTTGTGCGGTTAATTATTATTATATTTATTGGCTTCCTTATATGCATAAAATCAAGCATTCATGCTATGTGTAGGTATATATATTTCTGTACGTGTCTGTAATTCGCAGTGGTGTACACTGATTAATGTGGTGTTTTGAGATTTCTCGTAATTATTCGAATTTAAGAATTTGAATGAAACAAATAATAAGTAATTTAAAGTGTAGGTTTTTATGTAATTAAGCATTAAAAAGTTTTATTTCATACTTGTATTTGAACGATTTTTTGGACAGAAAGATTTTCTTAATAGTTTCTTCTTATTCGGCACGCGTACGAGTTATGCATTAAAGGTAAAGTTAAATTATTTAAGTAATCGTTTTAAAATTGATTTCACACGAATAATAAAGTTTTTGCATGTATAATAATAATATCTTCTTACATTTGCTTTCTATTACAATTTTTTACTGATTAGTTCTGTTAAAGCTAAGAGTCGTAACTATTCTTATTGACGGGCTTCAAACTTTTACAAGTCTCGCTATTTTCGAGGAAATCTTAAAAAAACTTTAAAAAAAAAAATGCGTCGTATCTATCCAACATTTATAAATTAATCTCAGAATTTTTTATAGGTATTCAAAAAATTCAACATTATTCTATCAGTTTTATAGAAATTGAATAAGCATTTTAATAAACATTGATCAATATTTATTTATTAGAAAATTTAATGAATAAAACCCCTTTTAATATATGATTAAATACAGATGATAATAATTACAAAGAACAGACTAACATGACTTAAAAATGGTTATAGGTTAGTTTAACAAAGTACAAGTATTGAAACTTAGATTTGGAATAATTTATTGGTTGTTTAAATATCTGTTTGATTGGTTTAGTTAAGATGACTTAAATTTGATTTTTATGAGCAATTTAATTTATTTTTAATATAATTTAAACCAATATATTTAAAAACTGTAAAAAACATTTTATATTATGGTTGTTCATATAATTGATATTTTTTATGCATTTTATTATTAATAGGTAACTATAATTATTTATGTTTAAAAGTATGCTAAAAATATTGGTGTAATAATAAAAAATAATAACTTAAAATAATTTTTAATTATTGTATTTTATGAATATTTTTTTTATTTTAAACTTTAAAGTTAATTTAAGTGTGCCAACTAAAAATCAAATAATTTTAGTGTAACAATTTAAATCGTACATAACAAATAAGCTTAGTCGATTTATTTTTAGATTACTTGTTATACAAGATTGGTAATATATTTTTCCTTATGTTAAGTATTTTTGTGCTTAATTATACTATAATTTGCATATCTCCAAAAATAATTTTGGCATTGAATTTAAGTGTTTTTACACCTAAGAAACCTTTTAGTATGTATGACATACTATTTAGCTTATATGATAAAGAAAATATTATTTAATATAATCAAACACATTAAGATGAATAAATTGTTATTCGTTAAAAACTTTTTATAACAATTTAATATATAGTTAAAAGTTTATTTTTAAATGTTTAAAATACTCATATTGATAAAAACTATGAGTACGTGGACTTTTTTTTAATTGTGTTTACATGGATTTGATATCATCTAATTATATATTATTAAGAAAGTAATAAATAACAGTCGATTAGTGTTCATCATGCAGACTTAAAATAGTTAATTTCTTTAGACTGTGTGTATCCCCATTTGCACAATGGTGTACTCTGAATTGTTTCCAGCAGATTATATAGTCTCGTATTTTGAAGATTTAATTATATCCTTAGTTAAGACTGTTCAGAGACCCTACACAAAATATCGGCTTTTTTTTTTTAACCCGTGTAGGATTATTTTCACTGTCATTTTCACAAGCGTTATACTCGTAAATCCAGATTTGTACGCCTATTTCTTCGCGTTAACTGGAACATTTGTATGCCATGTGAAGTTGTCACCACTTCCAGTTGTTGACGTCTATGTTGTTATTCCACCTAAATCCGTTTACACGTTTTATTATCGTGACGTCCAATACTATGAACGCATGCTTGACGTGACTGGATTACGCGATGAACTAGCTGTAACGTCAGAACCGAATATTATTATTGTACCAATTGTTCGTATCGTCAAATCGATAAGAGCATCTAGTTTTTACATGTCTAATTTGATCCACGAATAAAAAGGCAAACTGCCTACTCACCGCGGAATTTTATTCGAACAAATTCGTCAAAAATAGTCGACATATTTTATTATAGACGTTTCGACTGGATTTTGACGGCTGTTAGTTAAATTATTGTCCGAAAACAAAACTATTAAAAAAAAGTCTATGTTATTTTATTTAAACTTCATATTGTTTAGAATTTAATATATATTTGTGTATTGAAAATCTATAATGTTTTATAGGGTGTAAAGTAGAATTCTTTCTTTTATATTTTTCTCGTGAAAAGATATATAAAATGCTTTTCCATCTGGCTTCTCACATGTCACTGTCCATTCATGCATATTGTACTTAAGGCTTACACATACGCACGTTTTCTTCTCAACACCTTATCTCATGTTTAGCAGTCAAACATTTTAGAATTAAATTCTCCTCTGAGTTATAACGCAGACATTCTTGTGTGGAAAGATTTGCATAAAATAATGAAAGATATATTAAAATATATGGTCAAATAGATCATAACATTGATCATAATTAAAAAATTTAAATAACAAAACATTTTTTTACATTAAAAAAAAAAAATACGGCATATTTAAATTATTTAAAGTTATTATTAGTAATTTTATAGTAACTATTTGAAATTTTGAAATGAATACGAAAATAGGTATACATAATATTGTATTTTACATAATATTTACTTTTAGAAGAACTTAAATTAACTAAACACTGTTTATGCTTTATAATAATTTTATAATAACGTATTGGCAGTATTTTGATACTATAAATATGTTTAGATATTGTATTTTATTTTTTAAACTCTATATTTATACGAAATTTTTATTTGCAGTTGAAATATTTGTCATATACTCGTTTGGAGTTCTCGAAAAATAAAATCATAGATTTTTAGAGAAAACGTTTTTTAAATATTTTCCATAAGCACCTTAGGATCCTAGCTACGTGAGGGTGAAAAATGCAATAGAACATTTCCGGGTAATTACACATTCTAAAACATATAAAACTAGGCTGCTGTGTGAAGAATAGTGTTTTTTGATTTTGTATAGGAAATAATTAGGTTTTATACTATGCTGTTATTTTGAAAAACTTTCGCGTAATAATTTCGATAAGACAATAATAATTTGTTGTCGGAAAAAAAAATAAATTAAGTAAATTCAGCTATCTCCTGGGAACATGTCATCATAGTCGGTAGTGACGGCGGAACACTGGCTGTAGCGGAGGTGATGGTTTTAGTAGCTACTAGCTGCAGGGTAGTAAATTTATATATTTCATGAGTATTCCGACAAAACGTTCAAGTATAATAATTACCACCGGAAAAATAATTTATATATCAAAAGTATTCCATTGTATTTGGAATTTCCTTCTATTAATTTTTTCTATTCCTACTTAGTTATCTTCCGTGCTCTTTGTTTTTGTTATTATAATAAACGTTATTTCGATCGATGTTAATTATTATTGCGCTCTTTGTTTGCTAATTGGAACGAAAACAAAAACAATGAGACAACTCGATTCCCTTCGGCACGGCAAATAGTAACAATAATAATTGACATTAGACATAATTTTTAATTCAAACATTTTAAAAACTATAGTACTATATAGTGTTATTTACACGATTTTTCATCACATTGGCGTTCTGATATATTAATCATATTTATTATTTCGTTGCACTAAGTCGGTGTTTATTTTGAATCATAAAATATATCGTGAGTTTCCTGTATTAATAGAAAATCCTACGGATCAGAAATATTACTGTGTTTCAAGGTAAATACCGCCATACTAGAATTTATCGTTGTCGAAGAAGACGTGATCGGATTACTATGGTCGCTGGTAAGAGTAATGTGTGGTAAAAAATATTTTTCGAACGAAATCATCTTTTCTTCAACATTTATAATCTATAAAACTTACATCATATTACAGACGAAGGACATTGTATAGTATAACTTACATAGTATTCGATTTTACAAAGTATACATTTTTAATGGTAAGCTTAATTGAACTCGTGATGGAATTTTCAAAAATTATAAGAAATGCGTTTCACTAGTCTACGTTTAACTAGCCTTATGTGGTGTATTTTTCTTTCGATTTATAGAAAATAAAATTATCTTACCCATCCATCAACATTTTTGTTCGATTTCTGACCCAATAGTTGATTGATTTTGGGTAGGATTCCACGTGACATTCGAGCGTGACGTCTGTGCCTATTGGTGCTCCCAGTAGTTGGTTGGGTACCGCAATCACGGGCGGAACTGAAAATAAAAATATGTAAATAAATATGTATACCATTGCTTATTATTTAATTTATTAAATAGGAAAAAAACTCCATTATATTACTAATGAAAAATATCACCAAAACAGAGAAATAACAAATGTAATGATAATACATAATCAATAATATTATTATATTTTGCTAAGAAAAAACTGGGACAATGTAGGAATATGAGATTTCATCCAAACGCAAGGGTAGTACAACCGGTGTACCTACGCAAATGTAGTGACCCGCGGAAGCGGGGGCTCACTCCCGAAAAACAAACATTAGTGACTATATATTTTAATTTAGAAAAGATAATATTATCAACAATAATATTATGTTTTCCAAACTAAAGTTGAAATAATAACTTAGTAATATCCTAGAGAACAGTATTAATTTACTCTATTTTTATTAATACTGGTTATTGACATCGATATGATGACATGTTAAAATATAATACATTACCTATAAAATATTTATAATATTATGGTTGTTAGTTTTGTTTAATATAGATAATTATAAGCATTTTTGTGGTATTAACTGTTTAGTGATTAACCAAAGAGTATATTAAGTAGACTTTGTCGAATGTCGTCATGTAGATTTGAGATTTAGAATTTGAGATCACAGTATCTCACTCCCTTGTGCTCTTTTAGTTTTTACAAAATTTATATAATTGTATAAATTTATTTAAACTAAAAAGTAAAGAGTATATTATAATATTAATTGTTGTGTGTCATTTTATTTAAATTATTTTGAGTGTGGCCCCGCAATTTATAACGCCGGCCTTGATTCTATCGCCGAAATTACGATTCACGAAGTCAAGATAACATTAAAAATGAGTGAAAAAAGGTACGAGATGACGTACGAAAAGTTTCTAAATTGCAAATAGCTATCGATAAGCTCCAGACATGTTTCATCCAAGTCTTATGGCGTAAATTCTTGAACTCCGCAGGCCTGCTATACCGCCACCACACAAAACAATATATAAAAACGAGACACATGGTGCCCGGTATCTCACCATTTACTTGTTTATAATTGGTCAAAAACGAATTATATAACAATTCGGACTAGATGAATAAAAATAACTTAAAATCAAATCAGGGTTTTTTTTATTTATAGAATTTCATATTAAATTTTTCATTAAAAAAAAAAAAAATAAATAAATATTTCATCAATAGTTCTTCACGTAATTATATAAATGATGTTCTCATTACTGTTGAATTGTTTCTTACGGCCTTACGATTCTGTAATCATGGATTTGATATGGTTTGAGTATGAAGTATTTAAGTATTTAATGAAATAACGCTATTTAATATTTAACACTAACATATTACATAGTTTTATTGTTGTTGAAGTCTAAATTTGTTGTGATTAATTTATTAATATTCATATGTTTTGTACACATAATAATTATATAATGTGATTTACATTACTTATATCTCTAATACTCGCGTATTCTTAATTTTTCTTTATAAAATAATATATTGAATACATTATTATAAGTAAACACAAGTTCAGAAAATTGAGGTTTTTTATTTTAAATTGGCGACAATAATGTGTTTTTTCGTGTAATTTAAATTTATTTCGTATAAGGGCAAAGCTCAAATATGACATCTATGGATTTTTTAGAATCGCGGATTTAAATAATATAATAGTTTTAGATTTTATCATTAAAAACACGTTGTATGTACATGTGCAGTAAATGTTGAATACTATATTAAACTATACCATATTATTGTAAACGAATTATAATAATAATAATAATAACACGACTATTACAGCTTATGGCACTACAGACATCTGGATTATCGGGTGCGTCGTCAATTACCCCATAATACGTGTGATATACGTTTTCAAATATAATATTTCGAATTTAAGAAGGATAAAAAATATCCATTATATTATGCGAATGAACACAATATAATAATAATGTTAATATACAAAAGCGTAATCAAATATAGTACAACGAAAGGCGGTCGTTGCTCTTCGAGTTTGTTATCGTGCAACGATTTCGTACTAAACATTATAATATATTGTATATGATATACTCGTAGTACAGAGTGATTCTCTGATCGTGTATACCCCTATTTGCTTTTACAATAGTTCAGTTATTCAAAATGAGGAATATGCATAGGATATTTTTTCTGAATGTTTTGAGGTAATCAAAATTAAAGTTTGAATGAACAGATTTTGAGTTTTTTTTTTTAAATATAATATTCTAAGGATAGGTTCATGCTAATACATTTTTAGGATATGCGGATTTGAAAATGTTAGTAATTTGTATTAATTGATCAATACTTGTTTATTCACAAAAATGATCCAAGAATAATAAATACTAGATTGAAAAGATTTGGGTAACAAAACTAGAAATCGGAAAACTGGCTTACTGTTTGGGACATGGAACGTACGTACTCTTTTTAAACCTTGAGTGGTCCAAAGCATTGTTTATAAAATAAAAAAGTATAAGTTAAAAATAGAGAGATATAATTTTGATTGGTCGAAACCAAGAAAGATAAAGAAGATCCCAATTAAATATCTTTTTTAATTTTGTAAGGCCAATTTTAAGAACTATTATCCTTGATATAAAACTTTTATTAGGTAATTGACACATTACTATCGATTGAATTTTGAATTAAGTACATCAAAATTTTTAAAGAAAATTATCTACAAAATAATAAACAAAAAAAAAAAACAGGGCTATGAAATTAATTCATTATTAAAAAAATAAAAAAATAGGGGTTTGAATGTTTGATGAATTACGTTGAATATTTATTGCGTGTTATGTACGTCATGTTACGTGTGTATGCGGGTGAGGCGGATATTGAAAATTGAAATCCGGCCGGAGTTCTCGGAATTCAATGGTAAATGCACCACGTGTAATGACAGATGACGGTGCGCGTGGCTTGCGAATTTCATACTGGACTAGACTAATTTCACCGGAAATCCCCTTATGCTACAACAATCGAAATTATCAGCACATCCGGTAGTGCAGTATATGCTACGTATATAATAGGGAAATTCGCTCTTGGCAGTTTGTAGAATTCAATTTCAGCTTGCCCGTTGAGGATGGGTTCCCGAGTGCTTTCTAGTTACGTTTTTTATTTGATTTTTTTTTTCCTCGGCCTCGTGGGCTTTTATTGTTGTTCACTCGCTGGTAATTGAAAATACGCAATACGTGTAGGTACACGCTGCTGGCCTGTTTACAAAATTAATGTGTTATACAACTACGAAAACGAATACACTTAAAAAGAGCGAGTAATTATCACGATCGTTATCTCGTAGACGCCACTTGCTGTTTTTCAAAAATCGTTTTAATATTTTTATCAATTCAAAATAGTAATAAATCATACAATAAAAAATAAGAGTTTCACTACACAAATTATGGTTTATTACTATTTAATTGTATATTCAGTGATGATGAAATATAATATGGTTTATATATCGTTCGTATCACTCAAATAAATAACATTTCAAACTTTAATGCGTGGAAAAAGTATTTTCTTAAAAATATCACGCAAAATGTTATAATAGGCTAGTCAGACTAGGTTTGAATTCGAAATTAATAAGTGGAAAGCTGGAAGTTGTTTTAATTGCTTAAGTATAGGTCTGATATAAATTTTTCTCTCATCACTGAGCTTAGTGTTGGCGGTCACCTAGAAAAAATATTTCTAAATTGGAGTTTTTTTTTATTTTTTTAATAATAACTTAAAAATTGTGAGTTTTATCAAAAACATAATTAATAATGTTAAAAATATAAGATGCATTATTTTTTACATTAATTTTTTCAAATCAAGTTGAAAATTAATGAGCTTAGTTCAATATTAAGGTTGATGATTGACGTTTAAAATTAGCGTTTTTAGAAGTTTTTCTTAAAAACTGATTTTTTTTTTTAGTTTTTTCAAAATTGATCAAAATTACGACAAAAAGCCATACTAAATAATTCATAGAAATATTATAATTTGCGTAACATCTAAGAATGTTTAATTCAGAATTTTTTTAAATAAGTACCAATATCAATAATAGATTTTGAAATTTGACTCTTAAATCACCGGTTGCAAATAAACGGCAACTATGCGTAAAAAATATGTTTTAACAAATTCATACATAATTTTTTGTGAAATATCAATAAATATTTACTCATTTATATACATATATAATATATATCAATAATATAGTTAAAATATTAATAACCAAGGTAATTTAACCTATTGGTCTAATGAGTAGTTACTAAGAAAGCAATATTATGTAATTAAATAATAATATGCAAAATTCTACGTAGGTAGTAACGTGTAACATTTTATATTAAACAATTGTTTTCGAAATAAATATAAAAAATTTATTTAATTTATAATTGAAGTTTTTTTCTTTGAAAATTGATTTTATTTAAATTTTTTTTTTTTAATATATTTACAATTGCAATATTATTTACATAACTAATTTGACAGTAATTGTCTTTATTGTTCATGGTCCATGTTAGCTTTTTCGATTGCTAGCTCTTTCTGGGACAGAATAATACAATTTTTTAATTAAATACATTTCTTTAAAATATATAGAAATTTAAAATATATGATAAATTATACAATATACTACACTAATTAGTTTTTAATATTTTTGATGTTGATGTCTCATACGTAGATATTTGTTTGATTTTCTTTCTTCTATCTGGTCTTTTCTTCATCGTTTTTTTCGTGTTTTCCATCTTCTTTCTGATATTCTATATTGACGTTTTCTTTATATTTTTTTTCTATTTAATTGTATTTTTCAAGATTTTCATTAATTTCGATAATATTGCTTTCTGGATTTGAGTCTTCGTCTTTCAAACAGTTTGTGCATGCTTGTCCCCGACAATTAAAACAAATGTTTGAACAAGCCACGCCTAGTTTTTAGCAACTACACAATCTTCTGCATTTCTTCACACATTTACATGAAACTGTAAAGAATAATTTGTGGAGCCGTATCTTTATTTGTAGTGATTGAAAGAAAACCGTATTTAGAATT